ACACATTGTATGCGTCTGATCTGCTAATAGACAATAAAAGGGGCTTTTCATGACAGGTAGTTCTTACCAGAGAAGACCAAGCTGGGATTCTTTTCAGCAGTATCATCAGAAATGAGCCAAAACTTTGTAATCCAGCACTAATCTTAGGAATTTTAGCTAGTCAGCATGTTATAGAGGAAAATGTTGAGGAAATGCCTTTGGGCTGGAGCTGAAATTGAATGTGAGTCCTGCATGGCAAGTGCTGAGAGAGAGCTTGCCTTCCATGTCTCAGAGAGCAACTGCAGCTCCTGGCATAACACAGCAGGGAGCCATGCTGGGAGAGGGCATGACTCCATGTGGTGCATGCTCTGCCATAGAGACAGAAGGGTCATACACCCCAAAGAAGGTTGTGGCTATACATCTGTATTAGCCTGTTATTAAAGCACCAGTGACATAAATTACTTATGGTAACACAGGGCAGATGAGCAGGCACGGCTTCCATTAGATCCTAATCTTCCATTAGATCCTTGGTCAGATGCACATATTCTGTCTTGCTACTGGGTTTATTCAGATATGATGGCAGGGAAAGTGATTTGGTTTTATGTAAATAATAAGTCTTTATTCCTGCCTAGCTGTTGCATATCCCATTAGAGCAGAAAGACTCTAATTTCACTCCAGGAATGCCCACCAGAAGCCCTGTGAAGTAGCTGTTGCTATGAGATGCACCTGTGGGATGAGGTTGTCCACTACACTTCCCCCTCTGCAGCCTCTAGTTTTCTCTCCTGGGCTGTGGCTGGAAAGAACAGTCCACTCCTGGCTGGCACAGGAATGTCTCATAGCTATTGGCATTGGGGTTTTTTGCCCTGTGCAAGCAAATGTAGTGCCAACAGATCTTGACCAAATCTACAAATTTTATGGTTAAAGATGAATTTGGTGCCAGTCTCTGCTTATTGTGGAGTCTAGAAAATAGCATAGGAGCACAGCCTGCCTCAGGGTGGGAGATGCACAGACAAGGTCCAATGGTCATGAATTTTCTAAGGATCAAGAATATTTTAAAGAAATATTTTAAAGAAATCATAGAAGTGATACATGCTATTTCTGACAGTCCTGCAGGACTATGTCTTACATGACTATGAATGTTGTGCCTGTTCTTCACAGATAGTTTTTACTGCTTAGCAGAGTGGGGTGCACTACTGCCAGCTCTTAAACAACGTTGCTTTTCAAGGATATTTGATAGAAGGTGGGATTTTTTTTAATTTGTTCTTCTTTGGTGTTTTTGTTTGTTTTTGAGAGTGATGGTGGTAGGATTTTCTTTTTTAAAGAGAATATTGGACCTTGGATCTTCCCTTTACAAGTTCATTAGCCATACAAACTGGTACACACTGGGATTTCTCTATAAGACAAGTTATTTATATTCAAGGTTCAGGTCATAGTTTATTTTTCAGTTCTAATTTTTCATTATTTTTCTAAAAGTTATAATACAAAGGGTATTACAAAGTTAAGAAAACACAGGTCACAAACAAAACCAGTACGATGTCTTTCAACATAATACAATTGTTATAGATATTTTCTGTGTCTCCATAATAAACATATATTTGCTGCTAATTTTCTGGAAATACAAAGCACCCTGAATGAACATGGTACCACAGGAGAAAACAGCCAGGACAACTGCAACGATTTCTGCTGTGTTCATCCCACAGGAGAATGAGACAGTGGTCAGTTGAGTCCCAACTTGTTCCTTTAGGGTCCTCTATTTTATTCAGATTTGGCTTGTACCAGGTGATTAAACCAATATTGGAGCAGGTGCAGTCAGAGGGTTGTAACTCAAATTGATTATGCAGTGGCCAGCAAGGGACAATAGTTTGTCACCTGGTGCAATATGGATCCTGTTATTGGCAAAACTGAGATAGATACTCTTGAGATTTGAAAATGCATCTGTGCTGAATGCAGTAAGTTTCTTATGGTTCAGATCAAAGTGTAACTTCTTGAGGCTGTGAAATACTTGGTTGCTTATTGTTGTCAGTTCACTGGATGATAATATTAGCACCTCTAAATTGGATAGCTGTTGGAACAGATTGTGTTTTGGCATGATCCCCAAGCCAAAGTTATTTTGGTTGCTATGAGATGCACCTGTGGGATGAGGTTGTCACTGCACTTCCCCCTCTGCAGCCTCTAGTTTTCTCTCCTGGGCTGTGGCTGGAAAGAACAGTCCACTCCTGGCTGCGCACAGGAATGTCTCATAGCTATTGGCATTGGGGTTTTGCCCTGTGCAAGCAAATGTAGTGCCAACAGATCTTGACCAAATCTACAAATTTTATGGTTAAAGATGAATTTGGTGCCAGTCTCTGCTTGTTGTGGGTCTAGAAAAATAGCATAGGAGCACAGCCTGCCTCAGGGTGGGAGATGCACAGACAAGGTCAATGGTCATGAATTTTCTAAGGATCAAGAATATTTTAAAGAAATATTTTAAAGAAGTCATAGAAGTGATACATGCTATTTCTGACAGTCCTGCAGGACTATGTCTTACATGACTATGAATGTTGTGCCTGTTCTTCACAGATAGTTTTTACTGCTTGCAGAGTGGGGTGCACTACTGTCAGCTCTTAAACAACTTGCTTTTCAAGGATATTTGATAGAAGGTGGGATTTTTTTTAATTTGTTCTTCTTTGGTGTTTTTGTTTGTTTTGAGAGTGATGGTGGTAGGATTTTCTCTTTTAAAAGAATATTGGACCTTGGATCTTCCTTTACAAGTTCATTAGCCGCACTAAACTGGTACACACTGGGATTTCTCTATAAGACAAGTTATTTATATTCAAAGGTTCAGGTCATAGTTTATTTTTCAGTTCTAATTTTTCATTATTTTCTAAAAGTTATAATACAAAGGGTATTACAAAGTTAAGAAAACACAGGTCAGAAACAAAACCAGTACGATGTCTTTCAACATAATACAATTGTTATAGATATTTTCTGTGTCTCCATAATAAACATATATTTGTTGAGGAAATGCCTTTGGGCTGGAGCTGAAATTGAATGTGAGTCCTGCATGGCAAGTGCTGAGAGAGAGCTTGCCTTCCATGTCTCAGAGAGCAACTGCAGCTCCTGGCATAACACAGCAGGGAGCCATGCTGGGAGAGGGCATGACTCCATGTGGTGCATGCTCTGCCATAGAGACAGAAGGGTCATACACCCCAAAGAAGGTTGTGGCTATACATCTGTATTAGCCTGTTATTAAAGCACCAGTGACATAAATTACTTATGGTAACACAGGGCAGATGAGCAGGCACGGCTTCCATTAGATCCTAATCTTCCATTAGATCCTTGGTCAGATGCACATATTCTGTCTTGCTACTGGGTTTATTCAGATATGATGGCAGGGAAAGTGATTTGGTTTTATGTAAATAATAAGTCTTTATTCCTGCCTAGCTGTTGCATATCCCATTAGAGCAGAAAGACTCTAATTTCACTCCAGGAATGCCCACCAGAAGCCCTGTGAAGTAGCTGTTGCTATGAGATGCACCTGTGGGATGAGGTTGTCCACTACACTTCCCCCTCTGCAGCCTCTAGTTTTCTCTCCTGGGCTGTGGCTGGAAAGAACAGTCCACTCCTGGCTGGCACAGGAATGTCTCATAGCTATTGGCATTGGGGTTTTTTGCCCTGTGCAAGCAAATGTAGTGCCAACAGATCTTGACCAAATCTACAAATTTTATGGTTAAAGATGAATTTGGTGCCAGTCTCTGCTTATTGTGGAGTCTAGAAAATAGCATAGGAGCACAGCCTGCCTCAGGGTGGGAGATGCACAGACAAGGTCCAATGGTCATGAATTTTCTAAGGATCAAGAATATTTTAAAGAAATATTTTAAAGAAATCATAGAAGTGATACATGCTATTTCTGACAGTCCTGCAGGACTATGTCTTACATGACTATGAATGTTGTGCCTGTTCTTCACAGATAGTTTTTTTACTGCTTAGCAGAGTGGGGTGCACTACTGCCAGCTCTTAAACAACGTTGCTTTTCAAGGATATTTGATAGAAGGTGGGATTTTTTTTTTTAATTTGTTCTTCTTTGGTGTTTTTTGTTTGTTTTTGAGAGTGATGGTGGTAGGATTTTCTTTTTTTAAAGAGAATATTGGACCTTGGATCTTCCCTTTACAAGTTCATTAGCCATACAAACTGGTACACACTGGGATTTCTCTATAAGACAAGTTATTTATATTCAAGGTTCAGGTCATAGTTTATTTTTTCAGTTCTAATTTTTTCATTATTTTTCTAAAAGTTATAATACAAAGGGTATTACAAAGTTAAGAAAACACAGGTCACAAACAAAACCAGTACGATGTCTTTCAACATAATACAATTGTTATAGATATTTTTCTGTGTCTCCATAATAAACATATATTTGCTGCTAATTTTTCTGGAAATACAAAGCACCCTGAATGAACATGGTACCACAGGAGAAAACAGCCAGGACAACTGCAACGATTTCTGCTGTGTTCATCCCACAGGAGAATGAGACAGTGGTCAGTTGAGTCCCAACTTGTTCCTTTAGGGTCCTCTATTTTATTCAGATTTGGCTTGTACCAGGTGATTAAACCAATATTGGAGCAGGTGCAGTCCAGAGGGTTGTAACTTAAATTGATTATGCAGTGGCCAGCAAGGGACAATAGTTTGTCACCTGGTGCAATATGGATCCTGTTATTGGCAAAACTGAGATAGATACTCTTGAGATTTGAAAATGCATCTGTGCTGAATGCAGTAAGTTTCTTATGGTTCAGATCAAAGTGTAACTTCTTGAGGCTGTGAAATACTTGGTTGCTTATTGTTGTCAGTTCACTGGATGATAATATTAGCACCTCTAAATTGGATAGCTGTTGGAACAGATTGTGTTTTGGCATGATCCCCAAGCCAAAGTTATTTTGACTGATGTCCAAGAGCATGAGGTTTTCAAAGCCTTGAAAGAGATGGTGAATACTCGTATTAATGTGGGAGTAGGAAAGATTCAGCACTTGCAAGAGATGCAAATTTCAGAAAAGGCCCTGTGAAGTGTTAATATGAAAAGGAGTGAAGGTTAGGTCAAGCAGCTGTAGGTTAGGACTGTCCTTAATGAGCAAATCCTGCAGATGGAGCTGTATGTTGTGGCACAGATTCACGTAAGGAAGACTGCTCAAACCACTCAGCGCTTCATTACAGCACTTAGAGCTTGCAATATGACTCTGACTTAAATTCAAGATGCTGAAGCTTTGCCAGTTTCTCCAAACAGCCAGAGCCCAGCCACAGGCCCTTGATGTGAAGTGAGTTAAGGGAGGGGAAGGCAGCAGAGTTGATGTTGCAGAGGTGCTTAAAGGAGTTTATAATGAGAACTAACTCTGCTACCAAGTTCCTGCCACTGATGCCAGGGGGCAATGCATGTATGTGGATTTGGGTTAGATCCAGTTTTGGAGCTTGGTTAAGCACTGAAATGTATCAGCACTCAGATTTCTGAAATGCTGTAACTGCCAATAGAGGTCCTTGACAGAGATATTACAGAGGCCTTGTAAAACATCTGGGCTTATGTAGGGATCATTTTCCTCACTATAAAATGTTCCCAGCCAAAGGGGCTTGGTTGTGGAGTTCTGTATCCCTGCCAGGACCCCAGAGGCATCAGCACAGTCTGTGAAGTCCAAACTAGAAATGGGGCTGGAAGGCTCTAGGTTCAATATATGTAATGTCATTGCCTTTAAAGAAGAGGGTTATATTGCTGATATTCTGCAGAACATGGACATCTACTGCTGTGCTTGTATGTTGTTTGTTTGAAAGTCAAGATGTTTGAGGTTTTGAGTGGGAAAGTTGGGAAGAAGCTGCAATGAAGAAATTTGGTTGCTGTCCAAGATAAGGGTATCTAAGCTGTCCAGATTTGTCATTGGAATGAAAGAGATACTGGTTACTCCTGTCTTTGTTAAGACAAGGTGCTCCAGGGAATGTGGGCCAGCAAATGCTGTGTCAGACAGAAGCATGAGCGGGTTTCCTGTCAGCACAACTGTCTTCAGCTGCCTGTTGCTGTGGGTGCCGTCATACAGCCAGTTGATCTGATACCTTGAGAAAACAAAAAAGCGGCATCAGTGGCCTGTCTCGCAAAACTCTCATGGAATATGTGATTACCCAAGCTGAACCTCACGTCTGTAAAAACTCATGATCAGTTGCCTTCACCACGATAAAACTTTTTCAGTGATGCTTGTCTGGTACTTTTAAGTTCACATTTAATTACAGGGTTCTGCTGAGAAGAAAAACCTGCCCTGAAATGGTGGGTGTGAGGAGGCATTTGTGGGAGGCAGGGAGACAGGAGGTTTTTAATGTCCAACTTAATAAAACGAAAATTTCTAAGGAATTCTGGGGTGAAGGCAGAACACTGAAACTGAAGTAGAGTATTTCTGTTGTGACAGTTAGTTTTTCAGGCATCTCCCTCAGTCCTAAACCTTCACAGTTATAGCTTTTATTTGCTGTAATCTGTGGAAAACATACAGTGAAGCTGAAAGAGCTATGTACTGTGAATATAAATGGCACTTGGGGAAAAAAACAAACAACTAACACAACCCCCAAATAAACCCAGAGTTTTGAATTATTTAAAATGCAGCAGCCAAAACCCTAGGAAGCCTCAGCATAGGCTTGTAATGGACATCCCTGGTGTTTTGTGGAGTGTGTTTTTAAAACAAATGCCTTGAATCTCTCTTGTACTAATTTGAAGTGTATCTCATTTGCAGTACTTTCTTATTAAAGTTAGCAAATACGAGAATTGTTTCCTCTTCTGAATGAATTACTAATCATTAAAAGAGGATTCCTACAAAGTAGTTTTAAATTCTGAATGTCACGAGTTTTGTAACAAAACTTATTCTAAGAGAAGTCTTAAGTAAACCTTACAGAAAGGAGGTAAAAAAAAAAAAAAAACAAGTCTGGAAAATGTTTCTAGAAAGAATGTGGCCACATTAATTGGATATGAACTGCATTTACACGCTGCAGTGAGAAGACAGCAGGAATGTTTAGCTCAGGCTAAGAAAAGATCATACCTGATATGCTTAGTCTTTAAAATGTCCATGAAGGATTTTCAATTTAAGTGAAAATAAATCAATCTATTACACAGAGAAGTCTACTCTGTGGCTACCAGGGAAAGTCATTAAACGTGCCTGACCCACCTTTGTCTGGGGATTACATGGAAGCCAACCAGAGTCTGGGAAGCAACACCCTGAAACAGGCTGCCTCACTGCTCCAAACGCTGGGAATGCTCGGAGCACTGCCCCGGTCCCAGCTGCCAGGCTGCAGTGGGGAGTGTGAGCACAATCAGTGCAGCAACAGCCACCTCCTCAGCCAGCCCCAGCCTGGGAAGGGTGAGTCCTGGGGCTGCGTGGGAGCTGCAGCTTTGACAATACCCTGCCAGTCACCTCACAGACGTTTTGCTTGTGGGTAAAAGCACGTGTGGCACAGCTGGCCAGCACGAGCACTTTAGCTGATACAAAGCAATTCTGTTGGTGAAGGAGCACAAGCAGGGGCAGCAGCTGAGTGTCCAGAGGGAAATGCCCTGGAGCCCATGATGTGTAGGGGACAGTGCAGGTGTGTGCCTTGAGGGCAGGAGCACGTGGCCTGTGGGGGTTTGCTGAGGTGCATCTCTGTGAGCCCTGGGTGGTCTGAGCACGGGTCATTCTGTTATAGTCAAATGACCAGATATAAATTTTTTCTTTTAAATATATTGTAGAAATTTATTGAAGGCAAATAAGCAAAGCAGCGCGCTGGAAGACCCGGGGAAACTCCTGTTCCGCCAACGGTCTTCCCGCCAAAAACGTGCCATGATCTTTTATATGTGCCGCTATTCCCTCCCCTTTAGGCGGCGCCTGGATGCCGGGTGGCAGGTCTCAGATGGAGGTGGTCCTCAGATGGCAGCGGCTGCTCTCGGAGCGGGGCGAGTGGCTCCTCCCTCGGGCAGTTTGCTGCCACGGCTGCTCCGCCGCTCCTGGCTCGGCTGTGACAGGCTGTGCTGGGGGCTGTGCCACTCAGCTATGCCCCTTTATCCATATCTTTATAGGTTCATTTAAAGCTTACAGTCAGAACTTGTTTACATAGTAAGATATAGCTTTCCATAGTAACATAACATTGTGGTTTGATATTTGTAATTCAAACTAACCACTAACACTAACATTGTAAAGATAATTTGATTAGCAAATTATTTATCTTTGCCTTTATTAACTATTTCAATTCCCCCCTTCTTTTATTTATCAGTAATTTGCTTATCAAATTTTATTATAACTTTTCAGACTACCTATAATTCTTATCATTGTAACTGAAAAACTAGGGGGGGGTCCTGCTGACATAGAACTTTAATACCTGGAACTTTATTTGCTTTGTAAACTGTAATCTAATTTTCAGTCTTATTGCGGTGGTATAGGCTAGTGGCAAGTTTGTTTTCGCAGAGTTAGTTGTCTCCACAATTGTACCTCTCTGCCTCCTTCGTCTACTCCTTTGCAGGGAGCAACGAGGTATTAGCTCTTCTCGGCAGCAGTGGTATTCTTCAGGAGTTCTGCTTTTATGTTCACTTAGCCTTCTCACTGTGGTTTTAGAATCATGTTATTTATTTAGAATCTCATTTCAGGTTTTACTTTATCAATTAATTATTTTGGGGTTCGCTCCCAAGCAATTTTGGTAGCATGTTGTTTTATAATGTTATGTCAGTTTTCCTTGTATATTTCCTAGGTTTCAGGTATTAATAATTCTCATTTGCAGAGTAATTTATAAATTTTCACACTAGTTCTTCTTACAACTAAGTGATGATTTCTACAGTCTATACAATGAGTATGACGTAAAGTTGAAGTACAATACCATTTCTTATCATACTGTATGCATTTACAAGTCACTCACTCCACATGCCCGAAGTGAGATGCTTTATGTAAGGTATACCCTGAAGTTTCCTCCAAGGTTCAGGTATTTCAGTTGTTAATCTACATATTTCAGCTTCTCTCGTCTGATAGGGTATCCGTTCATTATTACACCAGGATGCCATATTTACTCTTTAAAGAGTGTCCCCAGGGGTAGTTGGAACCACTGGTATAAGTCAGTTTTTACTTTCTCCTCGTAAGGGTTCATTTACCAGTCCTGTTCTTCTGATTTTCATTTGAAGATCTCCTGGTTTGGATGTTATAATCCACTTTGGGGAAGATAATTCTACCGGTCCTTTAACTCTCGATGCATGAGTCCAGCCTTTTTCAGCAGTACGAATTGCTGTATCTGTGGTAAGAAGAACAACAAAGGGCCCTTCCCAATAAGGGGTTAATGAGGATTCTTTCCAGGTCTTTATTAATACCTGATCTCCAGGTTGAATTCTATGTATTGCTATATCTAAAGGAGGTCTCTGAGTTACTAATCCTTTTAACTCCTGTTTTCTCTTCATTAATTCAATTATATATTCTCTTAGAAAAGTATCCTCTATTTTTGGATGTTTTAGAGGGCTACTAAGATCATATGGCATCCCATATATCATTTCGAATGGTGAAATTCCTGTATCAGTACGCGGTTGGGTCCGATATGCAATAGAGTTAATGGTAAACATTTTACCCAACTCATTTTAGTTTCCATCATCAATTTAGTTAAGTGTTTTTTTAGTTCTCCATTCATCTTTTCAATTTTACCAGAACTTTGCGGATGCCAAGGTGTATGATATTCCCACTTAGTTCCAAAAAGCTCTATTGTTTCTTTAATTATTCTTGAGGTAAAATGTGGTCCCCTATCTGAATCTATGATAGTTACAATACTGTATCTCAGAATTATTTCTTCTAATAAGATCTTGATTACTGTTTTGGCCGTACATCGTGTTACAGGGAAAGCTTCTACAAAATGAGTCTTTTATTTACTTCTCTCAAATTTTGTACTAATCGATAAGTTCCATCAGGTTTTCTTACTGGTAAAATAGGGGTATTATGTGGTGACATACAAGGCTCCAATAGTCCCTGTGTGATAAGTCTTTCTATAAAAGGTTTTAATCCCATCTTTCCTTCATAGGAAATAGGATATTGTTTTACTCTTATTGGTTCCTCAAGATTTTGAATATCAACTTCAAATGGTTTTATATTTAGTTTTCCCACAGAGTCTGGAGTATACTAGACTTCAGGGTTTATTTTTTCCATATCTTCAACTGTAAGGGTATATAACTTAATTTGTAACCCATGTTCTTTTGTTTCCAAGCCTATTCCTAATTCAATCATTAAATTTCTTTCCAATAAATTATATTCTGCTTCAGAGACTAACAAGAATGATCCTACAGTATACTTCTTAGGAGTCTCTATTTTTACATTTTTAGTAAGGGGTACCTTAAATGATTCTCCTTTTGTCCCTATAACTTGTACTGAATCTGAGGATTCTACACAGCCCCAAGGTACCTTCTGAATAGTCGATCTCTCTGCTCCAGAGTCTACTAAGAATTCAATCGCTTGTTGCTGGGGACCTAATTTTAGTTTTATCAAGGGTTCTGTATTTGTCCTGGTCCCCAGCAAATAGAGTCCCTGACACCCCTAATCCTCTTGAAATACTTGCTCATCCAGCATACGCTTCCTGCAATGTCTTTTTATATGTCCTTTCTTGTGGCAGTAATAGCATTCTGCTTCTGTCTGACCTGTCTGTTTTTGATTATTTGGGATTGTTTGTTTGTCAGACTCACGAGGGGTCCCACGTCTCTGCTTGTAATCCTCTTTTCGTCCCTCCCTCACTGTTGTAAGACTGGAAGGGGAGGAAAAATATAAGACTGGAAGGGGAGGAAAAATACCTACTAAAGGTGCATGCTCCAAGCCGGGTTCATCTTGTGGACATCGAGGAAGACTAAAAATCTTCATCACAGAGACCCCGGCCCACAAAGAAACCCCCAGACCACGGACGCCGGTAACACAGCCCAGGAACATGCATGGGGAAAACTTTGTAACTGAGCATGTGCAAAGAGCACATGCCCCGGACTATGTATGGATAAGAACCTATGTACTGAGCATGTCTGGACGGCGAACCGGGGGGTTCAAAAGGGGAAGTTTGAGAGCCTGAGGGGGGGGGGCGGGGTAATGGGACGATTCCCGCGCGGCGGCAGAGGCGGGACAAAACGGCAAATCCCCCCCCTCGGCAGAGGGGGCGGGGTAATGGCAATGTTCCCGCGCGGCGGCAGAGACGGGACAAGACAGCAAGTTTCCAAACAGGATTCTAGTGTCTGACCTAATCCATATGCTAGCGTATTCGCTCTCTTCTGCACAGAAGGGTTCCTTACTATTAACATAGATGTTCAGAGTCTGACACATCCAATCCTCAAATGCGCCATAGACTGGCCAATATAAATAGTCTCGCCTTATCTGCTTTCCTCCCCAGACTTCCATACAATAATATACCATTTTTTCCCTTGACTTCCCTCCTCCAGAGGGGTAATCATTCCAGTATCTTATCATTATTCCCAAGTGACTATTCAGGGGTATTTCAGGCAATTCCACCTCAGAATTACCCATGGGAGCAAAAATTCTACTCATTATTTGTCCCATCTTCCGGAGTGCCTCCACACACACACACACACACTTCACTCGCTTTCCCTCTTTCGTGGCTCGGTCCCTCGCGGGATACAGGGAACCCACTACCACAAGGTCCGCACTCGCTTCGTCCCGACGGACGTCTCAGTTTCTCGCACTCCGGGACCCCCTCCCAAACCGAAAGGGGGATCCGCAAAATACTTACCTCTCCCTGGGTAAGTCTTCGTTCAGCTCCTAGCCAAACGGTCCCTTCCCCAACCGGACGGCAACCCCTATTATACTTACTACTTCTGAGTAAGTCTTCGCTCGACTTAAGTCGAGCGGCCCCACCCGACTGCAAGCCGGGCGGGTTCCTTAATCACTTGCTCTCTCCCCGAGCAAGTCTTCGTCCGGAGTTCATGCACGAAAATTACGGGGAACTGCAGTAGTTTATTTGCTTAATTGCCTTCAAAATTTTGGTCGAATATTTGGAATCTGTGTTGCGGGAGTCTCCCCTGAGCCGTCCAACAGGGACGGGGGCGCCCTCTCAGAGAGAGAGAATCCCACCACACAGGGATCC